AATACTGTCTTAATCAACATGATAAAGAGCTTCATAGGTACTTAATGAATCTTAGGCAAATGAATATGCTCGTCACTGAATATCTTTGAGTATTTAGTTGTAAAGACTACAACAAAATCCACTATTCGATCTACCCAAAGCTCTACAATTAGACCTAAACCTTCAATAAATCCATTTTTAAGAATAAAAAAAATATCACTTGCTTAAAATTTCATCAAAAGGGCATATAATCACTGCAAAGCCGAAATATTCTTTTTAAAGGAAAATCATCATTTGAACAATCGTCATAATGAAAAGGTTGTTGATGATTCTGATAATGGCTTGGGAGATATGAGTGACCCCAAAACTAATTTGCATACGATTGGATAACCAAGTGTAAGAGAGTGCATGCATGATATTGATCAATTTCCATTTTACTCATTTTTAAGTCAGATCCTATAATTGAGAATGTTGGATTTACGAGTTTCTTCAAGATAAATAATTTCATACCTTACAATAACACATACAATACATCTCAAATTGCAAGCATCTTTTTCATAGAGATATTGAGACTGTATAGGCTACACAATACCATGATAAATATTATATTTGTTAGGTTCCTGTCTTATTTCTGAACAATTTATGACTTTCATCGCAAAGTATCTATTCATATAACTAATATTTATGCATATGTATTTTCATGTTTTGTATTTTGTGGTTTTACACATAGAGACAAAATGAGAAATGAATATATCCTTGAAAGGGTTGGTGTAGCTCCAATAACAGACAAGACTAGAGAGTCCTCTTAGATGATTTGGTCACATTAAACATCGCCCATCTGATGACCCAGTTAGGAGAGTAGATGTTTTAAATTTGACTTATGTTAAGAGAGGTAGAGGTAAACCTAAAAAGTCTTGGGCTTGTTGTATAAAAAATGATTTTAATTTATTAGAATTAAATGAAAATATGACACTCAATAGGACAAAATGGAGAAAAGGATTTATGTAGTCAACTCCACTTAGTGGGATAAAGGCTCGTTGTTGTTGTATTTTCCTTTGTTTCGTATGTTATTAGCTCGCCTAAATTTTTTAAGAAACAAACCAAACAAGGTAGCATTAAATATGCTAATTTTGTGAGCAAAATTAAACATGCAAGAAAATATAAATAAGATGATTATGTGAAAATTCAAAATCAAACTAAAAAGCCCAATTAAATTAAAAAGTTTCATGCAAGGGCACATGACCCATTTAAAATTCTTAAGAGAATTAGATCAATAAATATGTTCTTGGACCGCTAAATGATATACTTATTATCACGTTTTTAATGTTGAAGATATATTAACATTTCTAGAAAATATGCTACATGAGAAATCAAAAACTAATCTTTTTACATATGGAGATAATAATCAAATGCAGGTGGACATTCAAAGCAACAACTTTAAAGTAGAGAACATATTGACAGATGAGAAGCCAGATGATGACAGTGGAGAACATGGATTTTTAGTGAGGTGAAAGGACTAGCTATGGCGCAGAATGTCAGAGTCTAAAGGCTTTTGTTTGAGTAGAACTAAAACTGAATACAAGGAATGTAATTTTAGTAGTAGTGGCTCTGGTGGCAGATAAATGGTTTGAACGTTTTAGATATCTCGGGTCTCTTGTTTAAAGTGATGGTGATGTAGATGGGGAGATGGGGATGTTATTAGGGGATGTTATTAGTAGAATTAAAATTGGTTGGTTGAAGTGGAGGAATGCAACGGGCCTATAGTATAATAGAAAAGTACCTCTTAGACTGAATGAAAAATTTTATAACATGGAGGTCAGACTTGCAATGCTCTATAACACAGAATGTTGGCCTTTAAAAAAGAAGCATAAAACAAAATTAAGTGTTGCTGAGATGAGAATGTTTAGGTGGATGAGTGGCTTGTCACTTAGAGACAAATATATCCTTGATAGAGTTGGAATAGCTCCAACGGCGGACAAGATTAGAGATAGAATCGTCTTAGATGGGTTGGTCACATTAAACGTCAATTATTTGATGATTTGGTTAGGACATTAAATGTGTTAGATTCGACTTATGTTAAGAAAGCCAGAAGAAGACCTAAAAAGACTTGGGCATATTGTATAAAAAATGATCTTATTTTATTAAAATTAAATGAAAATATCACACTCAATAAAACACAATGGAGAAAAAAGGATTCATGTAGCCGATGCCACTTAGCAGAATAAAGACTAGTTGTTATTGTTAAAAGGACAAGCTATCTACATATGCTATGTGGCTTGTCAGAGCTAACTTGAAAAAGATGGCACCCAATATAATGGATGACTACTTAAACTTCAACTAGTAGTATACAACCTTTAAATAAGGATTCTTTAAGAGCCAAAGGAAATGATGCAGCATAGAATCCAATCATAGAGAGTTAAGCAAAAAATAATAGTTGACCTATCAGAAGGAGTATGAAGAAGACCTTAACTTAGATTTTTTTTATATATAATTTTTAGCATTTTAATTTTTGTATTTTTTTTTAATTGAAAGATTGTGCATTTTTTTTATAAGCTTGTGTAGAAAAAATAATTTAAATTTAAAACCAATGAGATTTAAATTTTAAATAATGAGGACAAAATCTAAATAAATAGAGAAAAAATTAACCGTACATACAAATGCAATTAATTATTTAATTTTGGCAAATTTTTGTTGGCCACAAGGGAAGAAATCTCTCTCTTCAATTCAAATCAAAGGAATTGCACAGCGTCCCCCAACACACACTCTCTCATCTGCCTTTTCATTTCTTTCTTTTTCATTTTAGAGGTTCATAAGAAGACTATATATTTGATTAGTTACTAGAATAATGAGAGTGTTGTTGATTGAAAACTTAAATTTGGAGTTTCTTCAAGAATGTGAAAGCTTGACGACCATCCCATATAAGAGGAGACTTAGTGGTCTTCCTCAACCAATCGCTTTGGTGAGTAATATTCTTATTTTTTATTTAGATATTCTTTTTAATTTCTCTTCGTGGAAACTTTGTGCCACACCCCCTTCATCTTTCATAAATCTTCATAATTTTCTAACATAAAAATAATAGACAAGTCTCTATTGGTGTGGTCGACCAAGATATGCTTTAAACATGACATAATCTTATTCCACAGGCTTTTGGCCCTTCAAAATCCTTTGAAAATATGGGATCAACTCTAAATCTTATTTATGGCATGTTTGTTTCAGCTTTTAGGCCAGATTTTAAACTGTCCCTCTCCCATGCGTTTGATTGACACGTCCGTGCATCTTGGTTACAAACTGCGGACCAATTTCTCAAATACCTTGACCGCACTTGAGTGCCCACATTCGGTGCTCTGCTGAGGGCGTACGATTTAGTTCCATAGGAATTTACATTTTTATTACCCAGAGCTTTAAATTCTGTCATTATCAATAAGGACAATGATCTGCTGTATAAACAATTAATATGAGAGGTGTTGAATTAAAAAATATTAATCTATTTATTATCGTATTAAAAAATAAATATGAGAGATGTTAAATTGCCCTATTTAAAAATCCATATGAGAGAAATAATAATTTAAAAAATATTAATTGTTTATCTATGTCATGTAATTTTTTAATAATATTATGTATAGATGAATATTAATAAATATGTTATGAAATCGGAATAAAGTTTAATCGCTGTGAAAGGTATCATATTTATTTCTGTCATGTAGTTAACCACAACACTTTTAAAACTGAACTTTTCAAACAGAACAACTACTTCCAGAACATCACCTTTTAAACAGTAAATTTTTCAAAACTACTTTTGAACTGAGATTTCATACAGTCACAGTCGAAATAAACACACTCTTAGAGATATCTCTCTATCACTTTCATGAGTTCTCTCTAATTTTTTAGGCCCTAAGCTTCATTTCTAAAGCCAAACATTTTACTTTAGGTTGTTGTCTAAATTAGGTTCCTCATAACCTGACTTAACTCTAAAATCTTAAAAAAATATTAAAAAACCTCAACAAATCTTAAGACTTCTTACAAAATAGCTAGGCAAATTCTTGAAAAATTTTCAAGTGGTTTTAAGCCTTGGGGTTGTATATAATCTCCATGCCAAGAACCTAAACTCAAATCAATATATATATACTTTTGGTTTGCATATTATATGATAGACACATAATCCTAAATCAAGCCTTTCACAGCTTTTTAGACATCCTAAAGACTTACTAACCCAAAATATTTTACCACTCCACCACCCCCACCATAAGGAATTATGTTTTCATCTCCACGGTTTTACTAGATGAACCCCAATCCCAAAAGGTTGTAGGTCTTGGCTTGGCTATATCAATATGGCTTTAAGTAAGGGAACCATGTAATGTAATAATAGGCATTGGTTCAAAGATCAAGATAGGATCATCATCACTAATTCAAGGGGTTGTGTTTGCTTTGACTCGATAAACCTTAAGTAACTATTAGTCTCCTCCTTATGAGCCATAGGTCTCCTCATCTAAGGCAATGCCAAGAGAATTGAGAGTGACAATGTATGAAAAGCACAAATATCATGGTAAAGCTTGATTCTCTTCAATGGTAAATGGCTTAACAAATCAATTATACTAATTAGCTCATGGGCATGAGGCATGGCATAATGTGGTTCAAAATTTTTGAACATGAAAAAAATAACAACTCATTAGCAAGGCATGGCATAACCAAATCAATTGAACATGGGGAAATTTTAGCTTGCCCTATAAATGGAGAAATATTTACGTACAGAGAAAGCACGCAGCTCTCCGTACGGAATCTCCTTCCAATAACTTTTCAATAACCTCTGCGAAGGTTAATGGGGTGTTATTGCAGAGTTATTTCGGCATTATTTGGAGTCAATACCGCGGAATTATTTCGGCGTTATTTGGAGACAATACCCTAGTCTTAGAGAAAATGTGAAAGTGTGACCGCGGAATGGGAAAGTAAATCACTAGGAATAAACCATTTATGCTTCTAACACTCTGTAAATAAGGATTTCTGTTATGGATTTTGAACAGTACCCATATCCAGGTAGATCCACGAGATACCAGCTATCGTTTATCAGGAAATGATTGATGCATTGTGTTTTACCTGCAGATGAACAAAGAAATCAATGTTTCAGGAACAATTCCAGCAGGCAAGAAAATCCGTGATCGGGAGGCATGGTAGAGGGAGATTCGAGGGACAGGCAAACCCACCGGGCTTCTTGGAGATGAGGGCCAGACGCTTGCGGCGGACGAGTGAATTGAGAAGGGAGGACTTCCCAACGTTTGAGCGACCGACGAGAGCGAAGTCTGGGAGGGAGTCGGCGGGGCAATCCTCGGTGCAAGTGCTGCTCTTCACGAACTCCGCCGTGCTCACCTGAGGATCCAACGAGTATGATCCCAACACGATGTTGGAACACTTGAGAATCCGGCCCCTCGCCACCGAGTTCGCCGCTGCTGGTAGCTCGACCTCCGGCGGCACGAAGAGCTTATCGAGCGGGATATCGTTCAGAGATCTGTCGGGGATCAGCGGGCTGAGAGGCGTGTCGAGCTGAAGTTGTTTGGGGAGAGCGGGAAGGTGGAATTCGGTCGCAACTGCTGCGTCGGCGGCGGAAGAGGAAGAAATGGAGAAGAAGCGAGAGGGAGAGGAGCGATGGAATCGGAAGGAAGGCGAGCGGAAGGAAATGGACAGGAAGCGAGTGAGGATGCGCTGTTGATAGTGGAGCGCCATGCTATTTCCTATTTTTCGCTGCCTTTTGTCTATGTTTTGTAGGAGATATTTGTAATTAGTTAATAAATTACTTTATTCTTTATTTATTTAAATAAATATTATTAAATTTTTAATTTAAATTAAATTATATTTATAATAATAAAATATGCATCATAACTCCACATTTAAATTATTTGCAATTGGTTAATAAACTCCACTCTTCCTAATTTCCTTTTATATTTTCTATCATGTTATTTTTTCTTTTCATGCAATTATAATATTAATTATATTAATATTATTCTTTAATAATTTTAATTATGTTCAATTAAATATTAATCAATTTGTTAATATTGTATGAGACTGTATATAGCTTGGAACTTGACGACGCAGAGCTACTGATCTGAAGAAGGTTGATATAGTACCTCGATTGTCTTGTGTAACAACAGTCTTAGACAGTTTATAACAATTTTATATTTGTTATTTTCTTTAATTTTTCAATTATTTCTTCTATATTGAACTGCTGACCGTAATTTTTTGAGAATTATTTGTGACATGCTGAAATAATGCCGGGAAATATTTTAAATTATTTGTGTCATACTGAAAAGTTGCTCGTGTCATTAGAATCTTATCTTGCACTTCATTGTTAGCAAGGTACGAGTAATTTAATTTTATATTAAGTTTTTTTAAATGAATGATCATTAGGTTATGGATTTATGTATATGAAACTATTGTTTTTGAAGCTATAAATAATTTTATTAAAAAAACATATAATGTCTAAGGAGAGCTTGGGACGCAGCGATCTTTGTACACGCCTCCTCACCTAAAAGTTCTTATAGCAATGAATGCATTTTTTTCATTGCATATACCGGATAAGTAGTAATTTATATTGCAAATACATGAACAATTAGTACTATATATTGCACTCAAACACAAATTAAATCTGAATCAAGCTGGAACTCATTACTTTTTATTAGCAGAAGACAAAGAAGAAAAGTCTTTAGGAATATATGTATATGAAACATAGTGCTTTTGAAGCTATAATAAACTTTGTCAAAACGACCTAAACTGCCCAAGGAGAGCTTGAGACGTAAGCGGTCTTGGTTCCTCCTTCCTCACAAGGAAGTTATAGCTACGAATACTTTTTTTTTTCAATGCATATACCAGAACAATTAACATTTATAACGCACATGTTTCTGATTTCCTTGCTAAATTTAGCTCTTACGTTTAGATAAAATCAACTGCAGGATCAGACTAAATTTTAAAGTATGAGTATGAACATGTCACTATTGTTAATATGTTTTGATGGCAAGTTGCGAGTCGCGGAAGACTTCACCCTCACCTATGTTGGTGAATGTAGCCGTCCTGTACAAGTCTCACAGTAGATAACACTAAATGAATTAAAGAGAAAAATACTTCGTTCACTGCATAATAATAATTCAAGATATAACATTAATATAGTTTGTCAGCTACTGGTGGCGATTTTACTGTAACTCATGTTGATGATGATGAATGTTGTGGTTTATGTTGTAATAAGCTATAAAACACATAATAGTTATTTATGTTGAGGTTGAGTCATTGCCTGTAGACGCTTATGACATCGTTGGTCATTCGAATGTTGCTGGTCCTTCACACCCTTTTGTAGCGCCTAGTGACAATGTCATTGAAATTATTAGGTACAAAAAATTTACATATAATGACTTGATGTAACAATATGATGTAAATAATATAAACTTCCAAAATTTTATGACTTATACTTTATAGGTCAACCCCAATTTTTTTCAATACATATGACATTAGGTTATATAATTTACCCGACCAATAAGCAGACAACTATAGTGCACGTCGATCATTTGACAAATCACACTTCCACCATTACTTTAGGCTTCTTTACTTGAGTGCATCAAGAACAAATTTCTATTTATCATATTGTTAAGTATTTAGTTTCGATGTTATTTTTGGTTCCATTATATTATGAATGAGTTAATGTATCATCCTAGTTCTAGGTGTCTTCCTTAGTCTTTCTTACTTGATTAGATCAAGTATACCTTTCCATATTATTTGTGGCACTAGGTGGTGTTTGTGAAATTTCTTATGTAGAATGAAGTTAAAATCTTAAGCATTGAGACACCTTTTGGTGTAATAGTTAGAGTGTCACCTGAATGAGCACATTTGGGTTCATCCAAATTCTATGTGAGGCCCTCTATTCAGGCCTAGACATTGATGCATGTGGCCACAACACTGAGGAATCTAGTATCAAGCTTGTCTCCGAGTTTTAGGTCAATGTCAATAAGCCTAAATTTCTTTGCATTAGGTAATACCTACAACTGATGAAAATCTATTTAAAAAATAATACATTTCAATGACGTTGTAGTCCAATAAGAAATTATGTGTTTTCTAAATTTTTTTCCCGCCGCCACTTCTCTGACGAATCAATCATTTTTTTAACAGGATCCCAACCTAATCCGGTAGCTCATCTCTTTAGCTCTTTCCATAATTTTCAATTATTTTTCAGTTAATTTTCACTTGAGTTTTGTAATACAATCTACCATTTGTATCATCAAAAATTTTTGGTGATGTTTTGCCAACCCTTCTTTTTGAAGTCCGTTGGTCAGCCTATTCCCAATCTCCATCTTTCTCGAACACTGATCACAAAATATGATCATAGTCTCTTCATCACAAATAGTAGGTAGCCCATATTCTTTTTATTTACCCATCCGATCTCTAATACAATTAAAACATTTGGACAAATAATTAATTAAAAACAAAAATATAAGAACTAAATTAAAATTCAATGAAAAAACAAGATATTTGAAGTAAAGCTCCGGGAGATCAAGTTTTCAAAGAAATTTCTATCCAAAATCACCAATTGTACCATTTTAGCTTTAAGACTACGCAATATCTATAACATGTGATATCTATTGCAAATAGTAGTAATTAGTTATCAGCTAAGCCTTTTATTTTTTTTCCATCATTGCACTACTTAGCATTTTAAAAATGACATGCTTCACAACCACACATTCCAAAAATAGGGTCAATGTAAAGCCCACTTGTAGCCTAACAAATTTGAGAGCCAAGCACTAAATCACCAACACCGTATAAATGGGTACAAACAAAACACCATTAGAATAACATAGAATAAATACATATTATTCATTCCCCAATAATGTACACATAAAGATTAGATCGGTAATTGCATTTGCCTTTCATTCTCTTCAAACATGAAAATGAATATATGTAGAGAATTTTGGAGTTATGTTGAAAATATATTCGTGAGAATTTGGTTTTCTGCTTTTGCAAATATCTCAGTTTTCATGTTATATCAACAATTTCATTTGTTTTTCCTCCTCTTTAACTTGAAAAAGGATTATATGGAGAGAGTTTAGGAGCAGTTCTAGCTCTTTGAATATATTTCAAGGAAAAATTATTTTGAACTGATGCAAATATCTCAATGTAAATGTTAGATCAGTAACAGTAGCCTAAAAGCTTGCTTAGAGCTCGGTGAGATCAATAAATTAAATAAGGCTTTGTCTGTTATCACAAATTTTATCATATAGGGTGTAAGACTAAGTAGTATTTGTCACAATTAGTGATAGGTTGAACCCTTTGATTTTATTTCCCATCATTGCTCTACTATACATTCCAAGTACGAAATGTTCCACAACAAAAAAACTTGAATCCAACATCATAACACCCATTTGCATCAAACTAACATCCAAGCACTTTGATATTTGCATATGCTCAAGAGATTTTTACCTTGATTTAACAATTAAACAATGAGATTTACATTGTTCCTATATTTTTGTCCTTATAGTATTTTCCAATAGCACAAAACCAAATTCTCATGGATATACTTTCAAAAAAGCTAGCACGGCTCCTAAATATTCTTCATACTATCCTTTCCAAGTTAGAAGAAGAGGAAAAAGTATTTCAATTATTTATAATAACATGCAAAATGATATATTTTCAATAGTTCAAAAAAATTTTACTAGAGCATATATTCAAAAGACCTACCATTACACATAATTTCTATACATAAATTGATTTTTGATATTGTAATAGAGGAAAAGGAAAATGCAATTAATAATCCAACATGAAAACTAAGCTATTTGTAATAGCATAAAACTAGATTCTCATGGATATATTTTCAAAAGAACAAACATTGCTTCTAAACTCTCTGCATGCAATCATTTTCATGTTTGAAGAGAAGAAAAGTGAAATGTAATTATCGATCTAATATGAAAATTGAGATAGTAGCAACAGCAAAAAACTAAATTCTCATATATATATATATAT